CTGGCCTTAAATTATAGAGTTGTCTTTTACCCAAATTGTGCGTGCTGGTAGTCAAATCTCTAGAACTCATTGTTAAAGTGACTGCTACAAGATGGTTACTATAACAGTTAACCCAAGACATTGTGCTGCGTTGGTCCAAGGATGAAATGCTATCTCCCCTCAAGCCATACCCATCAAAACACACCCACATCCATTATATTATGCAGTGTGTGTTGTGAATGCAGTGTCTGTGTTTGTAGAGTGGATGCAGAATGTGTGTTTGTGTAGTGGATTCAATGTGTGTAGTAGATGCAGTGTGTGTGTGTATGGTATGCCTGAGAAGGCAGTGTTTACAATAGAAAGCCTGCAGGGACAGGCTATAGACACCTTTTGTCTTTTTACAGAGTTGTACGGCTTTTCTTCTTTTTCAGCAACCTTGTGTGATGCAAAAAAAAAAAAAAATGCAAAGAATAACCTGTTAATCACAGAATTACATTTCTTTCCAATCTAGTAGATTAAGAAGTTTCAAAAGAAAAAAAATCCACAATTTGTAATGAGCATATTTCACAGAGTTAAATGGGCACTAACACAAAAGCACCCCATGCACCATAGCTACTTGTACACCTTGCATTGATTATACTGCAAAGGGCTCTGCACCTCCTTTTATCATATTACTATAGCAGCAGTGATTTATTAAACTTTCTGTAGCCATATACCCATTCCCTACTTTTCAAAATGAAAGGGATACTACAGTGACAGGAATACAAAGCTGCATTCCTAGCACTGTAGCTACCTCTGCCTCTCCCCTTCCTCGCACCCTCCCTCCACATGGTTGAATAAACGATTAAAAACCCTTTATTTACTCACCTTTTCCGTGCGCTGATGCCCCTCGACACTGGGTCCTGGCCCGTCCCTTCTGAAGGCCCGCGACAGGCATTAGACCTCTGCATTAGACCTCCCCCATAGGAAAGCATTAAATCAGTGCTTTCCTAGGAGAAAAAATCTGACACTGGAGGTCCTCATGCAGAGAGTGAGGACATCCAGCGTCAGATACCAGACCAAAGGTTCATTTCAATTCAGGAAGCCTTTTAGGGGCTGTCTGGTAGACAGTCACTGTGGGCAGGCTTAGAGCTGTTTTACATTGCAGAACTAAGTGCAAAAGGGTCATTGCACCCACACCAGTTCAATGGGCTGTAGTGGTCTGATTGCCTACAGTATCAATTTATGATATGCTTCAATTTGACATGCTACACACGTCCTAAGTGATAATAATAATGGCCTATTAATAATAATAATAATAATGAGTAAAAAATCATGGTTATATTGCCATAACCCTGAACTCAGTAGCGCTCTTAAGGCTAAACACTGATGTCAGCAGTGTTTTGAGTGCAGTTGTGAAGAGGGACTGTCCCTGTGTAGCACAGACAGAGTGCATCATTAGGTGTACTTCAGCTGTGTAGCAGCCACTAAATTCATACAGAGTGTGCTTTAGCAATACTCTCTGCATGGTCTACTACAAGGAAAGGCAACCTGTGGCACTCCAGATGTTGTGGACTATATCGCCGACAATGCCCATACAACCATAATTCTGGTAATGCGTCATGGTCGATGCAGTCCATCTTGATTATCAATGGTTGTCTACCTCGGTCTTCTGGCTATAGATGCTGACAGTCAGCTTGGCGTGCCTTACACAAGGCTGACACACCACTTCAATGGGCCAACCCACTCCCTTTGCAAGTAGACTCATTCATTGTGGGCATCGCCACTGACACAAGTCACTGACCATGCCCATAGGGCTAATCTACCTGCTTCTTAATGCCATAGCTCCCAATGTTGGGAGATGAATGGTTATTGCTGTTTTAGTACAATTAATTACACTGCTGATAATAGTGGAATTTTAACACCATGGTCAACTTGATGTAAATAAATCTTTAGGGTATAAGTCTTACTTTGAGGATAACTGGATTTGTTTTAACTTCATCATAAAACTTCTTCAACATTGGTTTCAGTTTCCGCATATTAGTAAGGGACAGTTGGACAGCCTCGAACCTTGAAATTGTTGTCTGGCTAAATAATTTATCTGTAACAAAGTAGATGGTTTGTCTGTTATGTGATGTCCAGGTATTCTGGCTTTAAATAAACTCTCCAGGAGGTGGTAGGGCCTGGGATGGAGGGTCTGCTGCTGATTGGCTGGAATGTGTCTGCTGACTGTGAGGTACAAGGTCAAAGTTTATGTTTATGTTCGCCGTCCGTGGCGAACCGTTTGGCGAACCATTCGGCGAACCGTTCGGGACATCATTATTGTCCATATTTTTTATGATTCCCTTCGTTTGTTGCACTGTTCCCCATGTGTTTCATCTGTTGGTCCGGCTGGATAGACTACCAGACAAATTGTGGAGTTACTGGGTGGCCACCATTTCATGTATCAGAGGCACATGGTGAGAACAATGGATGAAGCACATGGTGAGAACAATGGCCATTTTAACTCACAGACACTGTTTGGAATTTTCTACACGGTGCCATCTCGCCGGTATTTGGTGCACAAAGACATTGTGCAGTAGTTTTAAACTATACAACAGGGGACACATTATACAGTAATTATTTTTCATGTAGCCTGTATATGTTCTGCAGAATCTGCATTAAACGGTATCTTCCAAACTACTGAATGGATCTGGTTGAATTTTGGTTCACCCCGATCCCCCGGTTCCGAGGATATACTTTTTATGGGGTTATTGCATGTTTTGGGGTCCCTGTGATATGTTTTATAATACTGTATTTGTCTGCCTGTGATAATTATATTAACCATTGTGTTCAGTAATCATATCACAGGCAGAGGGAAGGATTTTGTGTGAGAGTGTCTGTGTGTATTGTACGGATTGATTGGTTGTATTTCAAAACCCTGTGGGCAGTACTATGTTTGTGGATTGTGAATAAAAGAGGCTGTATGTGCCAGTACAGTCAGTTCTGCTTGACCTCAAAACTAAGTGTCGTCTCGTTATTGGGGGAATTGGATTGTATGCTGATTGCCAGGAGTGTAAGCTGATTGTATGTTTTTCCTGTTCACCTGCTTACAACATTCATATGCTTGAGAGCATTCATATGCTTCTCCAGTTCGGTGGTTGTGGCGTCTGCTGCAATGCTTGGAGTCCTCAGGAAGCCCTAAGAGCATCCTTCAACAGAGGTACCCTGTCGGGGTGCCAGGTGATCCGTTACAATTGTTATGCATGGTTCTTGTTGTGAACCTCTCTGTTGGCTAACTGGGCTTTTAGAGAGTGCTTTCTAGAATTCTTTAAGGTTGATGGTGTAGATTCTGCGCTGGGAACAGAGCTGCAGGTAAAATCTTTGGAGAAGGCCTCAGGACTAGAGATCAAATTTAAGAAAGGCTTGTATGTGTGTCTCATTCAAACATTATCTGGAAACCAAAGTAAAGGCCTGTAGAATGATGGGCTGTGAGAGAGCAGGAAGATGCTAGGAAGAGTCAGGATTGAGAAGAAACTCTCAAAGGCACTGAAGACAGTGATTCTGAGAGAGTGAGGGGACCGCTTACCTTTTATTGGCTTAATGTCATTCACTATTCCTTTTGCAACTATGATGTAATCTAAATGACCTCACCTCCCCATTGGTCTCCTCTCCACCAATCACTAGCTTGTGAACATCTTTTACTTTTTCATTTTATTCTGTCTCCCCAGTACTAAACATTATCTGGATATTTACATTTCAACAAACTGTGGGCCAACTCATTTACATCCTATTTATTAGCATATGGAGATGTCTGGTTAAGTGCACACTATGCAAATGAATATACAAAGTATCCCTTTAAGACATGAACCATGTGCCTCATTAAAATGCTAAACTTATTAGTAATTACTACACATTGTTTCCAAATATCTAATTTAAATGACACTGTTTCATCTTCATTTGGACTTCCACTAAAAAAATATTTGTTGTTAGGTGGTCATTTTGAGCCCAGTGGCCATCATGATGCATAGAATGTCAAAGTCTACAAGCAGTTGTTTAAATGAGTATTGAAAAGACCCAGTAACAATCTATATTGATCAAACAAATGTTTCTGAGTCACAACTGTATAAAGTTAGCCTTAATGATGCATACATCTCAACTAGTTATGGAGGTAGAAATGTATGACCATCAACAATGTCCTATAAATAATTGGTAATCTGGTCAATAGGGTCAATAACCGAAGACCCTATATGTGCAAAAAAAGGGCATTTGTGCAATCAGCTGATTCAACTGTCTTTCTCATGAATAGAATATGAGACAATTTGAACTTGCCACAGCAGCTGAGTAAGCAAATGGTACCTTGGGCTGTTACAATATGTCACCATGCTTATCACTCAGGATCAGTTCTCAGGATAAGGCACCCCAGAACCTTCTGCCTATTATACTTGCCCAGCATTGTAGGAATCTCCCAATATAATTTGGTAGTTGGCTCATTATAAGTGAAGCTGGAGCAGGGGAACTCAATGGGTAAAGGGTAGTGCCTTGTATTTTGTTTATGTCATACTTTTCCCATGTTGCTTGACAAAGATACGAGCAGGGACGTCTACATGTGAGTTTAAATCCAGGATCCTTTTCTGAACACCTTGGGGTTTGATCTTCATATTATTGTATCCTTGTCTTCTCATATCACCAACTGGAATCTTTAGGTTTTTGAGTTCAGTTAAAATTGCCACAGTCAGACCTTCTCCAGTTGAACTTTGGATTTGGATAAAACCTAGCAATCTTTCTTCTGTTGAGATATCTGGTTTAGCAGTAGGAGACTCCTCTTCGTTTATGGACAGAAATCAAACAATTACAGTCATTTGTTCAATGAGAGTAATGTTTGGGGTAAAATCAAGTTTTATCGAAAAATACTTTGTTATTTTTTCAATAATAAGAATGCTTTACTATTTCTTTTGGTATAAGGAATGAGTTTGTTTTAAATGTCCTACCCCAAATATTGTTGTAAAATTTACTTATTTCTGATTCTTTTCAGATGTTCTTGCATAACTGTGTTGCAGATAATTTCCATTATTTTCACTGCATAATGTGTCTCTGCTATGTCAAAAAACCAAGCACTGGCGACCAAGATATTTTGCTATTTCTTCACCTTGTCAATGTTGCATTTCAATTCCTAAAAATCTCTGGTAAGCAGCATCTATTGTTTTTCCTGATCCAACTCTCAAGAGTTCATTGCATTCTCTCCCTCTCAAGATGAGAGTTAAACATTTCATGAATTGTCAAATTTGTAGTAATTTTATTTGCAAATAGCTTACAACAAAAATAAAACTCTTTGTCCAATCTAACAGAATAAACCAGCCAGTTTCTAAAGGTTTCTTTCCTGTTAGCCATTGCTTGTAATTTGTATTAGGAAGATGTATATCTGATGCATGTTTGTTCTTTGCAGGACCTTTCCTGACAATAGCATCCCTTCGTGATGTGGTGACAACAGCTGGCCAATCAGCTGGATAAGACAAATTCAGTATTTCAAAATAAATTTGTGCGTCCTGTTCCTTTTCTTCTCTTTCTTCTTCTTCTTTTGATCTTTCTGGATCAATCATCTTTTCAAGGTAGACAGATGTGGAAGGTTGCTCATCATCTTGTTGTTCTTGTCTATAAGAGAATTTCACTGTATAGGTAGAAGGGAGTTGCCCTATTTTTCTAAGGAAATTATTTCAGACTACTCCAAACTGGCTGCCCTGTTAAAGAATTACTTCAATCATTTTTACAATTACAGCCTTCGGTAGTGGCTACTAGCCAGGTGTACACTGATACAATTTCTCTGTAATGGGACAGGCTGTTGTAAGTCCCTTGAATACAAAGAAAAATGAGATACGGCTGTGTACAATCTAGAACAGGAACAGAAAAAAACACATAGTGTAATACAGTAAAACAAATATTAATATGTTGGGATTGTAGTACACTCACAAGATGAAGATGAATAATGCGCCCAAGTTGTGCCTGCCCCGATGAATTTGGGCGGCTAAGGGTCTCCACTCCCCACAGGGAATCCAAATGGACCAAAAAACGAGACTCCAGTAGGAATAAGTAAGATAAATATGCAAAATTTATTGTAAAAAGGAGGCTATATATATTAGCCACATAAGATAAATTAAAAGAAAAGGTCCTACGCGTTTTGTTCCTATAATTAGGAACTTCCTCAGGGACCAAAGTTTAACAAAACAACAATAAAAACAATCAATACAAAAAATGCATACAATATTCCCCCCCTCTGAGTCTCTATAAATAGGGCTATACCCTCAGTTCATTGGTGGATCCTGTGGGAGTTGCTGGCAATCCTATGGTCCTATTTAGGTGTGAGAAGTCCTGTAATCCCCTTCAGGTATGGAGTAGGTGTTCCCTTGTCTCATCTGGGCGCGAAGAGGTGAAAACCGGAAACCATAAGTGACCTCCGTTATGCACTTCCGCGTTCCACATGCGTTCCAATTCGGTCAGAAAAAAAAAATTCATATTGCCACTTAGAGGTCGCCCAATGTATGGCTTCTTAATAACAGAAATGAAAGGGAAAAAAAAGGAAACACTTGTTGGCAGAAAAACCCCTAGCAGAAAGAAGGGAGATTAGTGATAATCATACAAAATCCTTAATGTTTAATTAAAGAGAGGATATATACAATTCTAAGATTTGATTATAAAGTTATATACAATTATATGTGAATGTCAATTCATAGTCTTTTCATAATCTTAAACTGTTTAGGTAAAATATGTAGATAGAAAAGAGGATATTTACAGTTCTAAATTTCACATTCCTGTAATTCAATTGTAAAAATATGTGGGTATATGTGTAAATGTAAATTCATCATCTTTAACTTATCAAGTAAAAGTGTATCTTGTGATCATAGGGAAGCCTCATTCAGATTCATTTTTTCTTTACATTAATACCTGGTTAGGAAGGTTTTTTAAATCGTCAACGGGAGACGTTCTGGATACATAAACTACAGACTCTATATCCCAAGGTATTAAATATTGATATAGATCTTGTATAGATGTGTTTTCTGGATTAATATACATTTTTTCTTTACATTAATGCCTGGTTAGGAAGGTTTTTTCAATCACTGGGCCACGACCTTGAGAGGCTGTTTTGATTGATCATTTCAGATAAGTATATTTGGATACCAATCCTTTTTCTTACTATATTATAGTGAAATAAGAGGTATTGCATATATACTATTTTCTCTGTTGTAAGTCCCTGCCAGATGTCAAGGGTCCTCCAGTGGCCTTTGACAACATCCGGCTTCTGCAGAACAAAAATAGGAGACTTAATGGACTAGCAGGCAGACAGTTTAGACTGTCCAACCTCTTCTTGGACAATAGGGAAATGCCCTGGTTAAACAATTAAATTGAGGGTGGAAAAAAATGCACAAAATGATTAAGGCTGAAAGGAGCCAACAGAGTAAGCTAAATTAGCAGAAGTGTTGTCTCAATTCATTGTATCAATTCTTTCCTAGGTGGTTTAAGCAGACCCTGGATGTCCTCATGCATACCATGAGGACGTCCAGCATCAATTAGGTGACTCAATGACAAAAACGCAAACATCACTGACAGACACAGACTCACTAATTTCACACACATTCACTGACACACACACACACTGACAGACACACAAACACTGACAGACACACACTGATAGTCACACACACACACACTCAATGACAGACACTCACAAACATACACACACACTTAAAGACACACACACTCACAGACACACACACACACACACACACATACATGCACTAACAGACATACACACTCATAAACAGACACGGTTACGGTAACAGGGGGTTAGTAAGAGTCTATTTCAATGTTTTAAAACTTACCCCCTTGCTGCTAATACTACCAGTCAGATGGTTGAGGAGACTATACAGGGAGAGTCAGGCTGTCCAAATAGGAAGGGAAGATCCCCAGGTGGCTGTTAAGATTTCCAAGGCTATGGAAAGCAGAAGAGGACAGTGTGACACTGGCTAGCTTCCATCCAGGTCTTGAGGGATGTCCCCAGGACCTGGGTAATATAGGGATATATTTAATCAGAGAGTGGGGTGACCGATTCTGCCACCGTGCTGGAGCCCACATGGGCTTGTGGAGTCTACTCAGGAGGACCTGGAGAAGGAGAAGAGCGGTGGAAGCTGGGCCAATCAGGGTCAGGAGTGCAGGGGAGTCTGAGGGAGGTGGAAGTCGTGCCTTCCTCTTAACATCATCAGGAGTAGGCAGCTGGTTCCACCTCCATTCTGCAGCAGACAAGGAGAGCAAGGTAGGCTGCAGACATTTTTGCATCTCCCTGTTCTGGTGCGCTAAGGCTTATGGATGTGCTGGCCCTGACAATCACGGCAATAGACAAGTTGGGTTGAGCAGCACTTGGTCAGATAACAGTAGAGTTTTGGCCAACATGGCTTCTTAGCCAGATAAAAGGTAAAAAAAAAAAAAAAGATTTAGTATACATAATGAATAAATAAATATATATAAAATGTAAAAAAAATAAGAGTGAAAATGTAACGACTGGTGTCATTTATGCTTTAATTACTTCCAGGGTGAACACAGCAAACAGAAGTAACTCTAGGATTCCCTCCCACTCTATGCCACATACAGGTAAACAGCTTTGAAGTGTTATGTTTGTCCCATGGCTACTTTTCTGTGCTCATTTTTCAAATAAAACAACAGCTGTAGAGAGTTAAAGAAACAGTATGAATTTTAAAAAAATCTATATTTTATGTGCCTGCCTAAATGTTGTCTTCTTCCAATGCAGGCTGCTTGACGTATATCAGGACAATTCAATCAGTGCTGTCAGTGTACAATTATGAGGACATCTTTGTTTGGAATGGGGTGGCAGGCTTATGGTGCTGCATTCTTCAAAAAAGATTTTAGCTTGCAAAATTATTCTGCATAATGATAAATCCAAAGTCTGCATTTCGGCATGTATCCCAACTGTCCTGCATTTGGCAGGAGACAGTCCCGATTTTAGGATGGTGTCCCACCTGCCTGCTTTAGTTTCTTGCATCCCAAATCTGTGGACACCAGGGAACTGTCACAGGGCAGCACAACTCGAGCGCACTAGGACCATGAAGGGAGCGCATCAGCAGCACATCCACAGTTCTCCGTGCATAATTCCGAAGACGTGGGGCCGCCCAGGCTTCCTGTCAGGTGGTGGGCCCACCCTTTTTCCAGGGTGACATGCCCAATTTTGGACAAGACCTCACCTTCCCATGGCAGCCACGCCCATTGTGGGCATAAATAATGATGTGGTTAACCTCAATGTTGACTCCCTCCCTATAATAAGAAGAACAAGGTTGGAAGGTATGATTTAGGTTATGTTGGTGCCTGGAGTGTCTGTTTAAGGGTGTGAATGCATATAAAATAAAAACATTTCAGATTCTTTTCAATTTGCCATATGTCAACATAACTAGCAGGTAAAAAAAAAATTGTCTAAAGAATAGCATAAAAGAGAAACACTGTTTAGTGAATAGACCCAAATCTGTTAAGGTATGTTATTTATTAGTTGCACTGACTAAATGTTTCCATCATAATAGACTATTCAAGTCATTTGCTTTCAACAGGTCACATGACAGCAGAGGTCCTTCTAGAAAGATCTGTCTGTGAATATGCACGTCAACACACCATATATCGTCCCTGATCTGTCTGTTATAATGGAATTCTTTTTGCAGCACATGGTTTATATCTTCAAATATTTTGCCACTTTTTTTAAAAACTAAATCATAAATCATGAGATGTGGTTCAGGCATGCTGTCTTTTTATTCATAAGATGCAAAGGAAATTACTTGATTTTATGGCAAGAGCATTGTAAGGATCAGCAGCCCTTTTGTGTCAGGAGATTTTATTATTTTTTTTCCTTGGATGCAATGGAAATATATATATTATATTAGTTACCCCCAATGCTCTCGTTACACTATGAAACAGATAAGATAAGGGGAACATTGATTGTTTTTAATGCAAGCTGTCCAGTGTTAATCAGGACAACAGATGAATATTAATAGATACTCCTATTACTCGGCAAATAGCGAGAGCGAGGAAGTGAGTGATCTAACTGGAAATGAGTGATCTCAGGGTGCACACATTGTGACTGAAGTGCAGCTAAGGAGAAGTGCACAATAGAATCGATTTCTCTCTTGCTTGTCTTTTCATTGGCATGCCTATATGAATGGAGGGTCATGCCATAATCATGGTCTTCGCTTCCATGTTGCAGCAGTTGGTATGTGAGCTTCAATGAATATATTGGGCAGAAGGAAATTCAATGTTCTACTATGGTAACAAGCAAGAAAGATAATAAGGATGGATGATGGGACACATTAGGGATGAAGGGGATCTGAGAGACACATGATGGACATTGGGGATGGAGAGATAAAAAAGGGACATGAAGAAGGAAGAGACAAATGAGGGACATGGGAAGGACAAAGAGACAAATGCAGAACATTTGGGTTGAAGAGAAACAAGTTGGTTATGGGATGAAGAACATGAAGAGGACCGGGGAGACACACGATGGACATGAGGAATATAGAGACATATTGGGGTTAAAGACATAGATAAAGGACGACAGGAGGTTATAAGAAGGGTACATTTTTAAGGGGGTTGGGCAGAAGCCAAACTGAAAGAGAGATGCATATGGGGAGTGAAAGAATAAACACAAGTTGGAGAAAATGAGCAGGATGACACAAGTAGGTGTAGTCTGATTTTGAGATATAGTTGGTGGTGAAACTGAGACAAAAGAAGAGGGATAGAGCTGGGAGAAAAAAATAATAGAGTGGAGGATGGTAGATACATGCAGTAGTAGAGGGAATGATGTGGAAATCAGAAAGTACAAACAAATCACACACGTAAAAGTATCCCCCACCTACACATTTCAAATGGACAAAGAGGGACACTTTAGTTTTTGGGTGTGAGTGGAGGTGTGGACAGATAAAGGCTTTTGGGGTTGTTCTGAGACCTTTTAGTTGACTTCTTGTTATAATTCATTCAACTAAATTTTCATTTAGGATAAGAACAATTTATTGTATTTACACAGACTGATTTCTAAACATATTTATTATAGTTTAAAGACATATTACTTTGAGTATTATTGCTGTGGAGCTCTGTTATACACTCAGACACACCAACAACATGAATAAAGAGGGACAGAAGTATTTGGGCCCAAAGTAGGGAATGTCTCTCCTAATTAGGGATACTTGGGAGGTTTGCAATTGTAGCACCCAAATGCACATCTGCATTCACACAGAACACACAATCCATCTACATTCACACATATTGACCTAACATACTTTAATTGAGCACAAAAAGGTCAACAGTGATGTTCTCGTGCCAGAAATGCTGCATGTATTTATTTATTTATTTATAAAATACTTTACCAGGATGGATACATTGAGATTTCTCTAATTTTCAAGTATGTCCTGGGTCTTTGTCCACAAAACATTGCATTGTTACAATAGGATAAAATATTACAAGAATACAATATACAAACTATATATATATAAACACACATATATAAATTTAATACATAACAGGTAATAAATATAATCAACCATGACTGGGGTATATTGCCGTAGATCTCTTAGATTTTAGATTGAATGAAGATTTGACTGTGTCCCTGAGGTTAATCCATAATTGCGTTGCTCTCTAGGAAACTTTATTTTTGTATTGCGGTATGCTAAATATTGTGCTAGTACTGGATCGGAGGTTATAGGAGGTGGGAACAGCCGGGGAGAGCATTCTACTCAGGTAGGGTGGGAAAATGCTCTGATGCACAAGGCTGGAATAACTATTCAAATTTTTCCCAACCACAGATGATAAGCGAACAGGTCTGTAATTTCCAGACAGTAAATTAGCTTTCTATTAAATATGAACATATATTACATACATGACTATTGTTATTAAATTAATTATCATTCACTCTAAAATGCCACCAAGTCATTTTTCACAATAGGTGCACTTTTACATATTGATGAGCATTTAATCTGGCACACAAATAGTTAAATATCTGCATCAGGTCGAATTTCTGCTTTATTATGCCAATGTGTTACTGATACAAGTCGTTACAATATTTATCTTGCACACATATAATGGAGAATTTTAGCTGGGAAAAGATTTTAACTCTCAGCGGTACGTAATCCTTGATATCTCGAGCTTGGTTTTGAGTTTGTTTATGTTGGAGTGTTTTATTGTAACATGTTAATGCGATTTCACATCATATCAATTAACAGCAATACACAGCTGACATTTCCGCATTGCCTTTAACTGACAGACAAATAAGATAGCAGTGCTAACTATATTTATTTTGTGTAGCCACCCTTTCCTCAATCACTAATCTTTTACTGTTGCTATATATTTTCCTAAAATAAACACTGAAAAAGAAAAAAAATATTCTTCTTGTCAATCTTTATATGTAAATATTGCACATATTAAGATTATAAACCAAGACCTGAAGAATCCTAATAAGTAAATATGTTTGTTCTTGAAGACTGATGTCACATTCAAATGCAATATGTGGTATATATTAAAATTAAAGGGACACTCTGGGCACCAATGCAACCTTAATGTATTTGCTAGGTTTTGGCATCATTAACATTAACCCCTTAAGGACGGAGCCAAATGTACACGTTGTGAACAAAACAAAATGTAAACAAAACCTGGCATTTGCGCTACATGTCTGTCCAGCCGTAATACACCTCTTTCATAGTAAATGCACCCACCCTTATTATATATCATTTTATTCAGGGGAAACAGGGCTTTCATTTAATATCAAATATTTAGCTATGAAACATAATTTAATATGAAAAAAATGGGAGAAAATACGATTTTTTTTATTTTTTTAGTTCTAAATGACATTTTAAAGGTCAGTGTCATAATACTGTTTGCTTTTACTGCAATAAAATACACATATTTGTATTTAGTAAAGTCTCACGTGTAAGACAGTACCCCCTATGTACAGGTTTTATGGCGTTTTGGGAAGTTACAGGGTCAAATATAGCACGTTACATTTGAAATTGAAATTCGCCAGATTGGTTACGTTGCCTTTGAGACTGTATAGTAGCCCGGGAATTAAATTTACACCCATAATGGCATACCAATTGCAATAGTAGACAACCCAAGGTATTGCAAATGGGGTATGTCCAGTCTTTTTTAGTAGCCATTTGGTCACAAACACTGGCCAAAGTTAGCGTTAGTATTTGTTTGTGTGTGAAAATGCAAAAAATGCCAATTTTGGCCAGTGTTTGTGACTAAGTGGCTACTAAAAAAGACTGGACATACCCTGTTTGCAATACCTTGGGTTGTCTACTATTGCAAATGGTATGCCATCATAGGGGTAATTTTCATTCTTGGGCTACCATAGGGTCTCAAAGGCAACGTAACCAATCTGGCGAATTTTAATGTGAAAAAATGAAACGCAAGCCTTATATTTGACGCTGTAACTTTTGAAAACACCATAAAACCTGTACATGAGGGGTACTGTTGTACTCGGGAGACTTCGCTGAACACAAATATTTGTGTTTCAAAACAGTAAAAAGTATCACAGCAATAATATTGTCCGTGTAATGCTGTTTGTGCGTGAAAAATGCAAAAAACTTCACTTTTACTGGCGATATCATCGTTGTAATACATTTTACTGTTTTGAAACACTAATATTTGTGTTCAGCGAAGTCTCCCGAGTAGAACAGTCCCCCATGTACAGGTTTTATGGTCTCGGAAAGATAGGGTTAAATATAGTGCTAGCAAATTAAATTCCCTTTACTTTCGGCATGGGTTGTCAGGCAGGTCCCTGCTAATTGTAATTAAGATACCTAATTATGTAAAAATATTACATAAATATATATGTAGAATTAATATATGTATATATATACGTATGTGTATATATATGTATATATCTATATAATTTTTTTTAAAATATTTTTATTTATATATAGGTATATATATAGTGATATATACGTATATATTTATGTATATAGATATATATATTATTTCGTTCTACGTGTATTTTGATATATATATATATATATATTAATTTCACAATACAGTTAGAACGAAATAACACACATCTATATATTTTTTAATTATTTATTTTTAATTATTTTTTAATTTTATTTTTTAACGTATTTACATTTTAATTTTTTTTATAATATATATAAATATATATATAACAATAATTATATATATATTTAATCAGTATCAGTTACGTGTAATTTGATATTAATATATATATATAATTATATATATATTAATAGTAAAATACACCTAGACGGTGTACATGTGTGTATGTATATGTGTATATATATACTTAGATCATATATATATATATGATCTAAGTATATATTATTTTTTTTTTTACACTTTTAACTCATTTTAATTTTATTTTCAGCCAGCAGGGGGACCACCTGTCATTACAGGCAGCCCCCCTGCTGGCAATACAGAAGCCAGCTATCCCCGGCCATGTGATTGTGGGGTCATCACAAGGACCCCACTCTCACACGGCCGGGGGGCTTCGTGGAGGACAGATATGCCGCGGGGGGCTCCCTGGGAGTCCCCCCCACCCCAATGCCGGGTAAGTACCGAAAGACCGGAGGGTGTACTATTACGCCCGGCGGCGTTTAGAGACGCCTATAATAGGGCGTAATAGTACGCCCTCCGGTCTAAAGGGGTTAATTGCATACTCAAATATTTATAGTTTTTGCACAAACAAATAAGCTAGCCTCTTAAGCCACACCTCCTCATACCATT